TCCCCTGCACCTGGGTGATTGATTAGAGGCTAAAGCCTCAGAGTAAGTCTCATGGTCATGTCTTTGCTACCACAACTGTTTAGCACACGTTTGGTCAAAGGATGGGCTTCACTTGTTACTTTGAATAGTTGTAATATGGTGCTACGAATGGCGAGACTCATTGACGATGTCACTATGATGCCGGCGAAACGTCTGGGAATGTACCACGTCCACAGTCCTACTCTGGAAATGATGATGCATACAATGTACTCCGGACTAGGTGCATTCCTTTAAGTCTTCCTAACAATATGACCGAGTTGCGAAAACAAGATCAAACAACTTCTATACAACGAAAGGAGACTGCGACCACACAAAGGGCCACACCATCTTGTTTTTCATACTTTCGATTATACACTGCACTGCCAGGGTTCGATGTTCGTTGCGGATGATGATGAGACACATGTGAGATCAAAACTGCAATCCGGCCCAGTCGGAATAAGAATAGGTTTCGAGGAACAAGACTAAGGAAAAATGTGAGGCATCCTCGTCTGATTGTGAGAAAATTCAACTATCAGACCTTTATGCGACCTAGAGTGACTAGGATTCTTACTCAAGCTGCACTGATACTCTCTAAAACCTATTTTATATGACCACAAGGTAGATAGGTTTGGCTGAAACAATCTACGTGTCAATCTAGTTTACTACTAGAGTTTAATTCAAAGTAATAAAAGAACGCAAAACTGTCAAAAATTAATTGCAAGAAATTAAGAATTTAACAGCTTATAGCCTAGTAGACAATAATTGCATGATGGCAGAGAACCATGGATACTGCTATCTTAGTTGAGGTTGTCTAAGTGTGAAAGGACTTTAGAGCTGAATCCTATTCATGCTTCCAATTTAGTATGCTCGTATAAGAAACTTATGATGGGTTCATATCGCCTATAGCCTTCATTAAGTAAATGAAAATACAATGGATGATAATAAAAAGTAGAGCTCATTGGAAATTAACAACAAATTAAGTCTACGTACTGACGATATGCTTGGTCACAGTCCGATTGAGTTCGCTTGACAGTGCGCGCAAGTTGCTCCTGAACCTGCATCTCATTCATCCATCTCTCAGTCTCTCGCTGATCGGATTTCCGTCTCAGCCAAGCCTGAAATGCGTCCTCGCGCAGTTTTGCCTCCACCACCTGAATAATTAGATAACAGCAATTATATGTTAGGGGGTATCAACGATACCATCGAATGTTAAAGCCTCCTTTAGGACGAATTTTACTTGCATCCATATTTATTTTACCATTGCTGGCGCACTCTAGGCGATTACCAAAGGCCCATCCCAACATGTAATCTAGTAAACCAATTTGAAGCTGATGAAAAATACATTAAAAGTAAGCTCAAATACATAAGCTATTTAATTGATTTTTCAGAAGTCTCTGTATGGACACATCATTTTCGAATGAACTCTTCGAAATGAGGTATGAAGACCAGGATAATGGGGCCTTTTGTATGGTCGCGGTCTCCTTTCGTTGCATAGAAGTTGTTTGACCTTGTTTTTGCAACTTGAAGGCCTTAAGTAACGCACCTTGTCCATAGTCATAGTATACATGATAATTTATAGTCCGACCGTGGACTTAGTACATTCCCAGACTTTTCCCCAGCATACTATGGACTCCGGATAAGGTGCGTTCCTCTAGGTTTTTCTGCCAATATGATTAAGTTGCGAAAACATGGTTAAACAACTTCTTCAAAATAAGGTTTTACTAAGTGACATCAAATTGAACTTCTAAAAAATATAAAAAATGCAACTGTCAACCTTAGCAAGAATTCAAAACCAAGAGTAGCAAAGTAACGCGTAAGTTTGCCTTTTAAAGCATTACTAATCTACAAACCACACAAAATTACAAAATATTAACTATGTTAAAAATTAGCATACATAAAGTCACAAGAACAGAGATAGTAAATAATCCCCAAATAAGATCACAAGATGATCAGCAAAACTCTTTAGACAAAAATCAAAATAGTTTAGGAGAACGCAATAATATCTAAACCTAAATAGATTAGAATGAGGCTCCAATAGCTAGGTTCGATCTGCTCAGTTTATTTGCACATCTAAGCATAGATACCTATAAAACATAATGAAATGACATACTATCTCCTTACACTGCTCTTATTCCAAATGTGTGGGGAGTATGAACGATTAATCTCATTAAGAGACAGAAGCTCACCCCATGATATTTTAAAATGACATTTGGATCGTCCTGTTCCTAATCTTTATTCATTAGACCTCCAACATTATAGCAACCGCTTCCGACAAGGGGCCATGCTTACCCGGGGTAAAGCATAGCATATTACTTTAAAGGGCTAAAAGACTAGTCACATAAAAAAACAAATATGCACACATGTATCAGTGCATATCCGTACAAAAGTACAAAATAAAAAGAGTGGGTGCAAATGAGCAACTATAATGAAGCGCTATTCATAATTGACCAAT